GAGAACTGATGTACACTAATGGTCTCCCTCCAACCAGACTGATCTTGAGTATTTTGCAAAGCAGAATAGAACAGAACATTTTCACTTATTTGTCTTGCATTTGTGATGTTTATGGAAAGTCCTTTGGAGTTCTTTGCACATTTGAAGTTAGCAAATCTTAAAAAGTTAAAGATTTGCTAATCTTTAACTTAGCAAGATTAGCTAAGCATCTTGTTGCTGTTGTTAGCAGCAGCTAACAATGCTTAGCAGCATTGATGGTTGCTGAAGCTTTCACTTTAACCATCTCTTCATTCCTAAAATTATGTGCCAATCTCTTAGTTAAGTGGAAGAGACGTGAAAGTGTTTACAACGTTAATGGGGTTGATTTAAAGGTTCAAGGATCACAGGATTAAACTGAACCACCTCCAACACTTGCAAACACACTTCCTAAGGCCACAGTCAATACAAAGATAGAATCTAGTGTTATGCAATCACTGTGCTCTGCTGCAGCGACCGTCTGAAACTGGGAATAGAAAACATTGTAATCCAACAAGAGTGTGAGATTTAGCCTCAGCGTATGAATAGTGTCACTGTCTGACATAGAGCCTTGTTGTGTTCACATGCAAAACAAAAAATCAAATGCAAATGCAGCCTATGTGATGCACCAATGTGCTTGTTTGCAGAACAATGCACAGTGGGCTCTGCATGCAAAAACAAACCATGTTAACAGTGACCACATGGAAAGCAGGTTAGTATTTGTGCATATCAATGTGTCACCTGCAGTGGACTACCTCACTTGGGTTGATATATGAAGATGATAATTAAGGTGGTCGTTTCTAAAAGACAAAATTGAACACATTTTTAAAGGAAGGTTTGGTTTTAATATGATTGTTAAATAGCATCAGACGCTGGCCAAAGACTTTTCACATGTGGGTGAAGAGCAGGTGGGTGACCTTGCATCATAGTTACAATTTCAGAGAACAACTATTTAATAAAGCTGCTAAAGATGAACTCTGACAACTTTACTAAATATTGTAAAATATCATAATGTTTTAAGGGTCAAGCTTGGGTGACTTTATGGTTTCTCTTAGATCTGGAGGTTTAGTAACCAGCAGAAAGAACTAGTACCTTTCTGTAAAAATCACTTTGGTCAAGCAGCTTTTCATGTCCGTTAAAAGGAGGAATTATTTACTGGGGGCTTGAAGCTGATTCCAGTCTGGGACGTTTTTAGATTCTTAAAGAAGACCAGGCTTGTTGTCATTGTTAGCAGCCAGACCACGATGGCTCCATGATGCTTCTTGTCTCATTGTGGTCTCTTTCAAGCTACGTTGTTTTATTGACTTTTAAACTGTTTTATGCTGTTTACGGCCCATTTGTGGACATGCACAGCAAATTAGCTAAGGCTATAAATGTTACGGAGTTCAATGCAATTCAACGTATGCCGATTCCAGCTGAATTTTATTGAAACCGTAATCAAGAAGATTAAATATAACTTGTGCTTTTGCTTTATCGAAAAAAACAACAGTCCCATAGTTTATAGTTTGCAGTTCAGACTGATTAAAAGAAAAAGAGTATTATCTCTTTGGGTCTGAAAAAAAGGGGAATACATAAAAGCAATAAACCTTTTAGCTGTTACAAGTCATATTTATATCACTTTTATATTTGGTATTTGGTTGACATATAGTGTTCAGCAGAAATACATGACATTCTGAAAGTGCCACAGTTCAATGGTGCATGACGTGTTATAAATGATCAAAAATATAGGAAATACATTTAAAATCAGTTAAATCAATATTTGTCTAATTAGGATATTAAAAGACTTGATTAAAAAAACATATTCAATTATTTCCCTATTTTGCTAGTTATTTCTTGTTTGTGTGGGATAGTGATCTGTGGTGACAGCTGATATTGATGCACACGTTACAAGAAGTATTTAATGTACTAATTAGACATGAAAATGAAATATAACGACATTTTTATTGAATTGAATTTCACACTAAAATATTTCATAAAGTCTTGACAAATATATATGTGTTTATGTTTAACTATGACTGGTACAAATAATGCCTTAATGACTTATTTTTAACTTCGTGACACTTTGGCGCTCCATATAGTCTATTTAGTGGGTTTCTTCAAATCGGTCGCTGTGTGTTTGTCCCTCCGACATGAGCGGCTGCATTCAGACCGAAAACAAAACATTTCACAGCTCACCCGCTGGTCCTCTCTGACGTCTCTCCCCCACGGATTTGGCTGCTACACCTCCAGGCTCAGATCATATTCCCGAAGCAAACAAAACAAAACAAAAACAAAAACAAAAACCCTAGCAAACCAACAAGCGTGGACTTCTCCTTCTCCACAACGATGCAAAAACTTTTGTCTTAAAAAGAAGTTCCCGCGCTGACACGCAGCGCCCGTTTCGCAGGACTTCAGCAGATCAATGACGCCGGTCTCTCACTGTCCCAGTCGGGTCAAAGTGACGCGGCGTCCTCGGTCAATTCCTGACTGCAGACAGACGCAATAGAGGCGGCAGAAGTAGACGCTGCTGTCACTGTGGCTCATCATCATCATCATCATCATCATCATCATCATCATCATTATTATCCCCCGCCTCTCCTCCTCTGTCCCTCCCTCAGCCTCTTGCTACTGTCTTTCTATTTACAGACGCTCTAAGGACATCCGATCAGGGGCTTTCCTTTCACCTCTGTGACTCGCCAGAGGTCATTGTGATAGTTTAACCCATCAACATTAATAATGGAAGGAAAACAGACAGCGTAGAGAAAGCAGTTTTAGAAAGTGATATATAAACTTTTGTCCAAGTCGTTTTGAGAGAGTGCTTCAGGTTTCTTACACGCTTGGTTTGACATCATGCTAAGTAAATGTCACAATTTGTGCAGCGTGCTTCGATATGAATATGTCACTAGAGAATTTGTATCGTGTGCAGACTTTTTTTTTTAATATTTCTTGTGAATTATTAGGGACAAGGACATAATTAGTTTTGGTCTACAAACTGGCATCTAAATTATTTCTGTTTCTTCACTATTATGCACTGCTCCTTTTGTAAATAAATAAATGTGATTATGAGAACAAGCAACACAGATCACAAAAGTGAAGAAGTAAAAAAAAAAGAAAAGAAAGAAGTTTACCAAGGATTTTTCCTAAAATGAAAACATTGTTATTCTGAGACTGTCTTCCAAGAACAGACTGTCTTCAGTCAGAGGCTTCTTCAGATCTGCTGTAATACTGAAAGCCACAGGAGATCCCACCTAATCACAACCATCATTTCCACAACTACTTTTTAAGGAATCTTGGATATTATGAGAGACAAGAACATTTAACTTACCTCTGGGATTAATAAAGCATTTCAGAATTTTAATTTTATTTAATTTACAGACATGAGCAGCGCAAAGTGAACTAACATCTTTTGTAAATGTTGAACAGAGAATAGGAAATTAGTTTTTGTGTGTGTGTGTGTGTGTGTGTGTGTGTTACTGAGATTGTGCCCAAATAAGAGCAAATAAATTCTTTTATTTTTAACCTAAACAGCTTAACGTAACCAAACAGAGTTGCTTTACCTTCCATCTTGTGCTCTGCTTTGTATCATCCAAAACAAGGTCCCTAAAGCTGAATAGCTGCTGTTGGAATTTCACACTTGTTGCCTCCCATTTTCCTCATTAGTATTCAGGACAACAGTAGGGTGTCCCTGGGGAATTCAGCTCTGTCCCCCGCTCCTTTGTATGTATGTGTGTGTGCAGTCGTACATCCATCTTTGTAGGGACCCGTTCTCGTTTCAGACACTGAGAGGTCCTGGATGTTTTCATAAAATAAGGAGATTTTGAACGATTTATTTATGCTAACTTTGGTTAAATGGTTTTATGGCTGACTTTAGAGAAAGGGTTAAATTGGATTAGGAGTTTAATTTGGACTAAATGGCTGCAAGCTTCAATTGTCCTCACAGAGGCTGAGAAAGGGTTGTGTGTGTGTGCGTGCGTGTGTGTGTGTGTGTGTGTGTGTGTGTGTGTGTGTGTGTGTGTGTGTGTGTGCGCGTGTGTGTGTAAGTGGAAAAGGAGAGGGGAGTACCATGACCCTGAGTTCAGGCAGAGACAAAGCTTCCTTTAAGGCCTCATCATCATTCCCAGTGCTCACACCAGAAAGAAGCTTCACTGGGCCACAGGTCCTGCACATTCATCAAGGAGGCTCATATACCCCACATGTTCGTAATGTTTTAAAAGCTGAATGGCTTCAATTAAAGATGAATGCAGTGGGCTATCATTCTAACAGCTGCCTGATGACGTCTAAGCCTGATAAATGTAATGAAATGCCGTACAAAATTAAAAACATCTAATTAAATTCAAGAAATTAGAGTATTATGTGTTACTGCAATAAATTGTATTCAAAGTTTAATGAGCATAGATAATTATAGGGCTGTTATACTTAGTGCCTTATGCCTATTGTCATAGGTTATTCAAATATTTGTCACTATAATTACTCTAAAAGGCGGTAAATTACGTTTCACTGCCTAACTGCAATTAATAGCACTAGTAATCCAACAAATTAGGATTTACTGTTATTACATTTTCAAAAAGATGGGTAATGAAAGCTCCACGTTTTGTCACATTGCAACCACAAACTTATGTGTTTGAATGTTTTTTTTAAGACCAACAAAATGTAGCACAAGGATGTGAAGCAGAAGAAATATGACATGTTTTTCTTTATTTTGTATTTACAAAAATAATGATTAAAGGATACATGAAGGTTGTGGTGTGTATTTGTACCAAAGCCTCTGGAGTCAATATTTGTCAGATCACTTTTTGCTGCATTTGTTGTAACGTTTATCTCACTTTTGCACAGTTAGAGACCAAAACCTTTTGCAAGGAACTCAGTTTCACTTAAAGGGAGCTGATGGCATCTGTTTTCTTGTCACAAAGTCTTTTTTGGATTTGGACTCCGATGGGCCCATTCAAAAGCATTGATAGGCTTTGATTATAACCATTTCCCTGTAGCTCTAGCGGATGTTTTCTGTTATTGTCCTGCTTGAAGGCGAGGGAATAAACTTTAAGAGTTTATTCCGTCCCAAAACTTTCCTGTTTCCGGCTTTGGTTCATTTTCTCATCAACCACCACCTTTGTGTGTGAACCACCTTCCCTGTCCCTGCCAAAGAAAAGCATCCCCACAGTCTTACACCTGCAGGTCACCTGTAGGTAATTATTTTGGTCTCCATAATGCTCTTCACATGTTCTCTGACAAATATCCCAGGTCTTAGCTGAACAGCTGGATTTAAATTGAGATTTCAAGTCTTTTACAACTTGTTCCCTTGGGATTTATGTAGGGTTATCACAATAAAGGCAACAGAATACAAATTCAGGCCACACTTTTTAGATCCTTTTCTGTAAAATATGTCAGAAACCATGTATCATTTTCTCTCTGCTTTGTATATATGTGTGCTACTTGTGTTATGTCACAAAATATAAAAATGTAAAAATAAACCAAATGGTAAACACTGCGCTCCGTTTTGTGAAATAAATATATAAAACTAGATAAGTCAGACATGTCATGAGGAATACATTAGATGGAATATGCATCACACGGTCAAAGGCTGACACTCCACAGAATCCTCCTTCTGTCAAGTGATAAATTGACCTAAAATATATGGGTTCATGCACTAGATGGGGGATATACTATCATGGACATGCAGAGAGGTTGCATGCATCTTCTTGAGGCTGCTCCTAATGTACTGCACTGTAAAGACACATGCATGGGACCACACACGCAGCACCATTATTACTCAGGCAATTTTATTTCTTTTCCAGTCTTCACCCCACTTACTCTTTCCTCCACATCTCATTACAGCATTGATATGGGAAGAGATAAAAAAGTAAGAAAAGATAGAAATGTTAATCACAACCTTGTCATATCTGGCTTCTGCATTTTTAGATTGCAGACGCCATGAGGAAATATTCTCCTCGGCGGTAGAATATTATGGTTTTCATAAACCTTGCACCCTGGCTGTGGGGATGGGAGAGGGTACGGAGGCAAAGCAGGTCAGTTTCACGCATGATTATTAGATGTGTATCTCCTACTCCTTTTTGATGCTCACAGTCTTATTCAACTCAGCATTACTTGGCATCTCATCTGACAGTTTAATTTGAATCTCGGGTTTCATTTTTTAATACTGTTAAAAAATAAAATAAATAAAAAATTATGGGAGTCACATTTGTTTCCTGGTTCTGCTTTTTCATGCAGAAACATTGGTTATTATGCACAAAATTCAGATTGGGGACGCTGTCAGAAGCAATCATGAGTTTGTGAGGACACCTGCTGGGCAGTTCTTGATACTGTTTCAGCTTCTAAGAAGCCAGAACGTGTTGCTGCTCATTTAATTTAATATGAATGCATATTGTAAGTCTAAGGAATAAATACCTGAATATGCATTAGGCCTTATATGCATTTGCAATTACTATATGTACTTTACACCAAACAACACACTTAAGACAGCTGCATATTTTGGGGGACTTTTATTGACATATCGTTTTTAATTATTCAGCATCACCTGCAAAAACACAGACAAAAACATAGATCATTAAAAGGATTGTTCAGATTCTGTTCAAGTGAGATTCTGTTAAAAGATTAAAAGAAGTTAAAACCCCTGTAAGTAAAATATTTGTCTAAATTGTCCCTCGACCCCCAATCAAATACCCAGTGAGGATTCACAGCACTTCACTTTTTCCCCATTTTGTTATGTTTCAACCTTATTCCAAACTGTATTAAATTAAGCTATCCCATCAAAATTCTACACATAAGTGCCTCATTACAGCAAAGTGGGAAAAGGTTTTTGAGTATTTTGCAAATTTATTAAAAATAGAAAACCAAGAAATCCCATTTACGTAAGTATTCACATACTTCATCGATCCACATTTGGCAGCGATCACAGCCTCAGATCTTTTTAAATATGGTGCAACAAGGTGGAAATACTCAGAGTTCTTCAGTGCAGGTAAGATATTAACTGGGTTTAACATAAACAAAAAAAAAAAAAAACTTTCTTTCCAAAATCCCAAAACATTCCTTTACGCTTCCTTGTGCTTCTCTAATGCAACTTGAGATTCGCAATTATGGTATAAGATATTGTTACTGAAGGAAAACAATAAAAAGATTGGTAATTTATTTTATAATATAATATTTGATACAATGCAACAATTATATTTTTTTAAGACAACTTAATGGAACTGTTGTACTTAGGAAGACAACTGATTGGTAAGTTTGTTTTTGGGGCTCAGACTGAATGCAGAGGAAAACGTATCTCTTTTTTAAAAACACATTTTATCAACGCTTTTTACAGTTTTCCAAGAAATACCAGCATGAATTCTAATGTAGTTTTACGCCTACATCAGCCATCTTTTTGTACCTGGTCGATCCAGCTGTTGAAAGCAGAGACTCTGGTGAAGACGGTGGGTTTCTTCACGTAGTTGCAGCCGAGGCCAGACACAAAGCTGGCAATGCCATGGATCTCCCAAACACCTTCGGCGTTCTTACAATTCAGAGGGCCACCAGAGTCACCCTGAACAAGGAGATTCAGAAAGAAGGTCTATGTTTTATTCAACTGAAGGAGCGACCAGAAGATCGACCAGAAAGAAATAAGGAAAGAAAGAAAAAAAGGAAAAAAAGGGGATATCACTATCAAAATCATTGATTCATGAAGAATTATTATTATAAATTATTATAAAGTTTATTTGATAGGGACAGACACACATCGACATAGACAAACTGAATAAAACAGCAGTCCCATGTTTGCATTATGGTGCAGGACAGGTGGACACAAGAACAGCATTTGTTGATTCTTGGCGTCACGCCACAAAAAATAACTTTGAGGCAAAAATTATTCTGTTTCATTTCAGTGGGATCGCTTTGTAGGTTTATTATTAATTTATTTATTTATTTATTTATTTTGCATGGCTTCAAAAACAGCTTGTCTAATCACCGATCAGGCATTTTGAAGGAATAAACAAAGCAACTCAAAACACATAAGTGCTGAAATAATCATCTCCCTCCTCGTGTGCATTCTCAAACAGTGCAGCAGACTTACGTTGCATCCAGCAACAATTCCATCCCCACCGGCGCACACCATGCTGGTCCTAACAGCGATGCCCCACCAGTCAGACTGGGAGCAGGTGGCGTGGTCAGCCACAGGCATCAAAGCCTGCTGCAGCTTATCAGCAATGGGGCCTCCGGCTAAAACACACAGGCAGAGTCTATTACCGTCATACACATAAACTCGCTGGCTGTCAAAGCTGCTTTACAGGAGCTCCCCGAGAGCCAAACTCAGTCTGACCCAAATTTTCAATTTAGAAGTAATCCCCCTGCTGAAAAGTTTCAGCTCAAATCTTATGCAGGTAATTTTCTTCCCAACTTCCCAAATAGCTCCGGCTAACCCTAACCGTTTATGAATACTGCCACTATGGCTGAACACTGGCCAAACGTGCTAATGGAAATGATACGAGGAGGAATGCAGCCGAAACGTAAACAGAGGGAGAACTTACTGTACACTCTGCCCCAGCCGGTGATGTAGCAGGGGTAGAGGTTGGTCAGCAGAGTGCCAGGAGCGGGGATGCATCCCAGCTGCACCTGATCACTCAGAGTCACTGGCTCGGACAACTTAATCAGGGCAATGTCATTACTGCAAGGAAGACAGACAGAGAAACGAAGGCTTAGGGAGGGGTTGACTTCCCCAACCTAAGATACTGAAAAGAAAGGCAAGGAAGTAAGTGCATCCATAAATTACTTTCCAAATGCTAATCAAACCTTTTGATTTAAATCTTACTGAAGATGTTGGTTCTCTCGAGTGTGGTCCATAGAGGTAGTGTGTGATGTTCAGCAGAGAACATCAAGGCTAACATGTTAATATTAAATGTTTTATCTATTAATCAGTGGAGCAACTTTTCAAAACATAAGAAGTTTCGTTGGTATCCAAATTTAATTACTTTATCAGAATCACCAATGTTGATGTTGAACCCTGTTCTAATCTTAGGCACTTGCTGAGAAATGGTTTGTTTCATACCACTTTAAAATTTTATTATAATTTCACTAGCATGTTATGCTAACTAGCTTATAATGTCAAGCCTGCTAGCAAGCTTAGTTTTTGAATCGTAAGGTAGTCAGTGCCAATAAACAACCCATCTTAGCCATAGTTGTCAATGAAAATATTTGTGTGTTTGCATTCTTATGAAATCAATTCACTTTTGTGATCTAGTTTCTTGTAAGCACATTAACTAACTGACCCGTTAGTTTATTTGGTCCTCTCATTTCCAGCTAAATCTAAATCTTCAGCAATATGCTCGAGCTACGTCACCAACTGGAATGAAGAAAATAGATAAAGAATGGTATTCTGAGTATGTTTGCTTTATATTATCAATGGAAATACTCGAAACTCCATCCCAGAACAGCAAATAAAAAGCTGCTGCTTTTGTAAAGACAGCAAACAGCAGCTCTAGATTTGCTTAAAGTGGGATAACCTTAAGAGCTTTGGAAGTTATATCAGGTAAGTGTCTTTTAGTTGTTAAAAGAAAGCACTATTCAAAGCTTCATGAATGTATGAGAGATTCAGTAGCTCAGATACCATAGTTACAGGAAGACATTGCAATATGTGAATATACCTAATTGATGTTTATGTAGAGAGAATCTTAGTTGCTGTCTTCGTTTTTCTTACCCAAAGGCTACGAAGATGGGGTTCCACTTCTCGTGGACGATGATCTTCTCGGGCAGGATGGCTTTGGAGCCAGCCTCTTCTTCGACCAGGTTGTGTTTGCCCACAAACACCCTGTAGGAGAACTCGGTACTGCGAGAGAAAGCAGACTGTTGAGGCCCAAGGCAAACCAGACAGAGGGTTTATTAAACAGTTGAATGATTTGATTAATTTGGTCTGATTGTGCTTTTGTGTGGAGGAATAGATAAATAAACTTTGATGAGTTGAATTTGCCATTACAACTTCCAAAATATTTCTCCTTTTTTTTTTTTTTTTCTTGGTAGGAAAATTAAGCCTTTGGTGAAACAAATAAGCAAGCAGCACTGCATGGAATAAAATAAATACAGAATTTGCTGTGAAATGATGGTTGTGTTCCTGCGTTCATGTCTTTTATGCGCCTCAGCTTCTCATACTTGATGCAATGTGCAGCAGTCATGACCCAGTTGGCAGCAATCAGAGATCCTCCACATGTGTGCCTCCACTCACCGTCCCTTTCGTACTGCAGAGAGATCTAAAAAAGGGAGAGGAGGAAAAACAATATACATGGAAGTGGGCTTTCCTTCTTCAGATGGATGGTGTGGATTCCTGATTTAACACTTAAAAAAAAAAAAGCCCTGCTTAATTGCAGGATTTTCAACGGCCACTGGGTTTGTCATCCGATAGCCAGATGCTGAACCTGGAGGGTCATCAAAGTGAACATAAAAACACAGACAGATGTGTGCACATCTGCATACCTGCCAGGGCCAGCTGTGGGGCTTGGCATCCACTCCATTGACCACACGGGAAGTCAGGGGCTCAACAGGAGGGGTGCCGCACCCAAGGGCTGAAAGGAAAAGGAGCAGGTAGAACACACACACACGCACACACGCACACACACTTAAATATATTCTGAAGCAGAGTGCAACATTTCTCTCCTCACCAAAGAATCACAAAGGACCGGCTTACTATGTACTAACGAGCAAATGCAACACAGAGAAACAATTAACCACAGAAATAGAATATTCCAGATGTTCTTACCGCCAGCAATGAGCACTGAGGCCAGCACAATGGGGATCATGTTGATTGATGCTTCAGCTGAGGGACGGTGAGACCCACACACTCTCTTTTAAACTTTCCACCTCAGGCAGCTCTCTCTCTGAACACAGCAGCGCACTCTCCAATTGGTCTGCGGCGGCCTGCTGAGGCCGTAGATGGACCAATGGCAGCGAACCAGGAGTTTATTTCACACAGGTGTATTTTCTGGGACATTTCTCATGACCTCCCGGCAGCATTAACTCTAAATCACTAACCTTGGCATAAGTAACATTGTTTTTGGGAACTTGGACATGAATATATTCATATTATGAGTGTGTTTGAAATGCAAATGGCTCTATATATGCACCAAAGACAAGTTTCAGTATTCAGATAACTTCTACACCTTCAAAATACCTGGAATTAAATGCTTATGTAACAGCACAGGAAGTCAGCATCTAGATTCTTGGCACTGAAGAGTTTTTTTTTTTTTTTTTTTTTTTTTTTTTTTTTTTTTTTTTTTTAGAATTGTACTATGAAAAAGTGTTCCTAAAAAAATACACGGTAACAATGAACAACAGATGGTTTTGTTGATGCAGAAAATGTGTTGATATTTTAACACATGCAGTGGTGCGGCTAATTCTGCTGTGTCAGGACGCCATATGTGTGACAAAACTTTGCACTCATCATATTTTACATTCATCTGTCATTTTCTCTGCAGCACATATTTGGATCTCCTACAAAATATTCCGACCTAAACTTTCAGGTGGTTGTTTTATTGAGCTTGATGACAGGACCTGAAGAAAAGAAAAGGCACAAATTAAAAGGCAATTGTTGTGGTGTAACAAGCCTGAGGGGTGTCCTCGTGCAGACTTAATAAATCTGTCAGGGATTACGTGAAAATATGCTCCACCAAGAGTGGCAAAGGACTTTGATGGAGAAAAAGAAAAATTAAATGTTGGTGAGGATGCTTAAAAAAAAAAAAAAAAACTGTAAGTGCCTGCAAATATTGCTTCATAATCACCACAATTCTGCTATAATTTGTGAAGCAGCTTGTTTTATTGATCAAAGTAAATGTTGTATTCAAAGCAATTAGTCGGGAAATTTGTCAAATCACTTCAGACTGCAGGCTAGACTCTCAGATTGTTCTTGAGTCATTTATTTTCCCAAATCACCACTAGATGGGACAGTTCATCTGCTTTGATACCACACTCATTTATGTCCATTTAAAGGAGAGGAACAGAGATTATTCTGAGTACAAATATATGTGTTGTATTTACTTTTATTTGTTCTGACAAAGAAACGAAGAAAAAAAAAATCACTTTTACTTTTAAACTAAGGTACAAAATGAACCTTGGAAGTGATCGTAAAAGGTTCCTGGGGTTCTGTAAAAAGAAAAATTCAAAACGGCTAAATCTGCTTTCAACATTTCCTTTAAAAGTTTTTTGTTGTTGTTTTTTTCCCCCCCCTGGGGGCATTTACTCATTTTGTAGTGAAGCCAATTCTCAGAGGAAAGAAAAACACTTTAAAGAGGCAAAAAGAAACCCAAACAACCAGAACAACGTGGGCACATGTGTATTCTGCTTTCTTGCATGCATGGCATCATGCAGTGCAAAATGCTTTGTGTTGCGTCGCTGTACATCATCCATCATACACCATGGTGAAACAAGATGATGGCAGTGTGAGGTTTCTTTTTTAAACAAATACACAGAAAACGGTCAGGGTTGGTAGGAAGACCGAGGCATCTAAATACAAATCAGTCCTGGAAGAAAACCTGTTAGAGACTGACCAGACCTAAAACAAGTCTGCTCACTGATGCTCTGCATCGAATCCGATTCAGTTTGAGATGTGCTGCTAAACAGAATGGGCACAAATGTTATTCCCTCCATGTGCAAAACTATCTATCCGATATCATCTTTTCAACTCGCTCTACCTAAATAATATATTCCCATTATGTGACTGCAAAAGACTTGCAGTCACATTTCTGCCTCCAGATGTGATATGCAATTCATTAAAATCTAATTAAAACGTCTCTTGAGATCACCAAAACATTGTCAAACCTCTTACAGGGCAGTGTCTGGCACACCACCGTTTCCTGACTAAAGCTGTTGTGTTCATTAATTTGATACTGAGATGAGATAATGAAGCGAGGTTTGAACTTCGTGCGGTTTTGCTGTAAAAGATGTAAGCCTGACCTGTCATAGCTCCCAAATCCTTTTTATTGAGGTCAAAAACCCCTGATCTCGTAAATCTGCTGCTTATCAGTGAAATATGTTGTATCAGAGGCAGTCTGTCATGTTCTCCTGACTGAGCAGGCAGAAAAGCCCAGTGACTGAAGCCCTCCGGGGAAGTTGTAGTAGGTACAATCCAGACTGTTTTCCCTAACAGAGCAGCAGCTGAACTCTGAATGACACCACTGTTTATGGTTGGTTTATATCATGTTGTGGCAATAAACCCAGCACTGGTCATTGCCATTTTCTACATGCAGCAAAAAGAGAAAGATTTTGCAATACGTGTAAATATTATTGTGGCATGCCAGTGTTATTGGCTGCTTCCAGCTGTGAGTGTGTGTGTGTGTGTTGATTTTTTTTTTTTTTAACCTCTTTTCCCCCTGCATGTCACAGTCACTGGTGTCCCGCCACACAGTTTAATATAGGGCCCTTTCAGAGCCATCTAACATCCATGCTGTTTAAATTCCTACACCACAGCTGCATTTTACAGCAGCTGGCTTATTTACCACAGCCTGCATGTTTAACGCCAGGGAGCTAAAGTAAATCCATCACTGGTCTACTAAAGCTAATCTTGACTGAATGCTTTTCTGCTGTCTCTTTGTGATTGTCAGTGCACATATTTATTTCATTTTGCTCTCTAATTCTGTGCTCCCCCTGTCTCAGAACTGTCAGGCTGGGAACAACTAATTTAATTACATTTTATAAGCACAAATTATGATTCAAGTGTTTCCAGATCTTGTGCATACTTGTCAGGTTTTCTGTTTCTTTCATACTAAGAGAAAGAATGTACCAGAGGAGTAAATATAATGACTGGGCGTGGTCGCCAACTATACATAATGTTTTTGTTTTTTTTCCTGCTTAGATTTTCTTCTAGAAAAAAAACATGTTTATGGTAGGTTTGTCCAGGCACCAGCATAGATTATTTACAACAACCTCTGCAGAGACTTGCAGCTATTTTTTAATGAGTACGTTTGGTATCAAGTATAAACTAGTCCTCGTGCTCGAACATGACATACGCACAAATCAGAAGTATGCACATGAATGCAGTTCTGCTCTGCATCCCCAGAACCAGAACCAGAACCAAACATGGAGAAGCAGCATCCAGCTTCTGCAACAAACTTCCAGAAAACTGCAAAACAGCTAAAACAACAACTGAGTTTCTTTAATTAAATCAAGAATAAAACCCCACCTGTTTAGAATTGTTTTCGACCCACAATCCCTGGAATATTGAGCAACGTATTTGTTGTCCATGATTTTGATGATGGCACGAGAAATTGGTGACTGTAAGATGTTTTTATAACTTTTTATATTTGTGTTTAAAGAACTTTGAACTGCCTTATTGTTGAAATGTGCTTCACAAATAAATTTGACTCGATTTTCTTGTGAAGTTACTAACAATCCTTCAACTTGTTCACATTTTGTCACATCACAATCACAAACCTCAGTGTATTTCACTGGGATATTAAAATAAAACATGTTCATGAAGTGCTTGAAAAAGGATGTATGGTAATCAAAAAGTTTTACTTTAAAATGCCTAGAAAACGTAAATGTATTCAGTTGTTTTTACTTTCATAGAGCCCACGAAACAAAGTGCAACAAATCGCTTTTAGAACTCACTTACCTGCTAAATAGTCCCTATAGTTAATGTCTCAATGTCTCTAATTTCATCTCAGAATAATCAATTCTTTTCTGGAAAGCCCTCAGCGATTTGTTGGAGAACATTGGCGAACAAACGGCATCATTCGGGCCGAGGAACACAACAGAACGATCAGGGAGAAAGATATGGAGAGGTTCAAAACAGGGTGTTGGGATCATGAGTTCTTCTGAGGTTCCCAAATATGCATTAACTATCATTTATATATGATGGTCTGTCGTATGAAGTCTCAATTAGGCAAAGTTTGTTGTAATGCAACAAAAAGATGCAAAAAGGTTTATTGGGCATGAATATAGCCTGTTGTTTCCTGCTGACCCACTTTGATTTACCTAAATAACAGATTTCCAGGCTGCAGACAAAGAATATTCTGATAGTAGATAAAATATGTAAGTCTGTACAGACCCAACCTAGTTGAACAAACATGGACAAACATATAAAAGTCACATGCAGTGAAACACAACTTTAGATCTTTTCTTGTGAGACATGTGTGTGTGTGTGTGTGTGTGTGTGTGTGTGTGTGTGTGTGTGTGTGTGTGTGGGGGTGTGTGTGTGTGTGTGTGTAAGCTGTGTTTGTGCCGTTTAATGCCCTGGATCACTTCCTGGATTGGAAATGAGGGTTCAAAGGTTTCCAAAGCTTGTATATTTCCTGTGTGCTTCTCAGGTGAAATCTAGAGTCATGTCAACGAACACGGAATCCCAGACACACAGCTGTGAGTACACATTCATTTCTAAAATTTAACAAGACAATGTGCATGTACACATCTACTCACGCAGATTCAGCTGTTCCTAATTAGTATTGCTTTCTTGGCTAGTTTTTGGGAAATTTTCTGGGAAATATTATATTTTGCATACTGCTAAACAGTAATTTTTTTCCCTTGAATTCACTTGAGTTTTCTTTTTATGTGTTTTGATCTTGAGTAATCCATGGGGCTGAGTGGATCTTGCTCCATCAGAACCGCAACATATTGAAAAATACACAAAAGAGAATCATACCATGGATTTATCGGTAGTTATCAAGCTGCCTAAGACTGTTAGGCATCATAAAATGTAACAATCCTTTGTGTTCATCACAAAACACACTAACCAGATGATACTGAGACTTTAGCCCATTGCAATTCTATTTTATTGCATTTGAAAATTGAAAAAAAGTCAAATAAAAAAATAAGGCTGCAGTCATGATAAGACATGTTGGCACTTATCTTGTCTTCCTGCTCTTCAGCTGAATCAGAGCTGGTAAAGGAATTTGCACAATGTCTCATTAAGACCTTTTTGACATTCTCAGTTGTTCTCTGAAAATGAATCACAGACAGTTCTATGACGAGTGAAAATGAAAAGACCAGAGAGAAAATGGCATGCCAGATAGAAAGTCGTGCAGAATCAGGGTTGGCGTAGAAGGAATAACAAATAAAGAAGAAAGAACGACTAAAATAAATCAATGTTTCAGGCGTGAGAATCGAAAGAAAAAAACCCCCAAAGCTGCAAATAAAAACAACTTAAACGGTCAAGACTTTTTCTAAGTTCCAAGGTTGTCAGCATTCCTCACTTTGCTCACAATACGCTCGTTTCTGAGCGCTGGAAACTGCAGGGATAGCTCCCTAAAAATGGCACCGCGCATTCAGATATCATTTGCAATGCGGCAGTAATCACACTCCAAATTCACGTCCACATAATAAGATGTTCAAGCCTATTATCTCTGTGCTGCACACTCTCATTGTTATTGTCTGTTTTACTCGTAGCACGGGAATGAACAAAACTCCCTGATTGGTTGCAATAACATTTACATTGTCAGAGAAACATTCTCACCGATGCTCAGCAAGGGGCTTCGGTTTGTCCTCAGTGGTTTGCATTTGCTAATCATGTAATATACTTGCGCATCTTTTATTGTTCCAGTGTTTTGGAGAGTATAAAGCAATGAAGTGTTAGGAACAGGCAATGCAACAACAAAGAAAATAATTCCTTTGTGCTTCTCAGGTCATCACCTCAGGGAGAAGTGAGTTAACACAAGTAGCGGCTTTTGCAAAAACTGAGCAAAGAATGATTTGCTAAGACTCTCTGTAGTTGTTAGAATCAAAATGTTTCATATCAAGATGAAAAAACAAACACTTGACCACAGTGCAAATTTTAAAACATATTTATTGTCACTGTTGCATGATTACACAAAACAAATGTTATAGTCCATGGATTTATTTACCGGTGACACACTTCTGCACTATTCTAGCCAGTTCTCACACAGATTTTTTGCATAATCCCACTTCACTATGCAGTGGACTCTTCAAAATGTAAAAACAAAAATCCAAAGACATACAACCTTCAAAGCACTTCACATCATTTGATGCTGCAGCTGCACAACAGTTGAGAAGACTTTGTTGGAAGGGTGAACCATGCTTTACTGCATGATTTCCTGATTTCTTCAGTTCTCTGTCTCATATTTTCTGAAGTTGATTTTATTTTCCTTTACTCTGCTAGTACCCAGCAGGGAACGATGTCCACAGGCCAGTGGGCTGGAGAGTGTGGCACCTTTGTTGCATTCAGGGGAGGAGACCCCTGACCCCATCCCTACCACCACCAGGGGGACTATTCCAGCCTGGATTAATGGCAGCTTTTTGAGAAACGGTCCAGGGAAATTTGAGTTTGGAGAAGACAGGTATTTACCAGACACTTTGAATCTGTCACACAATGCACTCATACATTGAATTTCTTCACTATGTAAATTTAATAAAATATAGTATATGTTTGCTGATTTGTTGATGATATTCAGCTCTACTTACCTAAAAAGGCTCAGGAAATAAATCAGCTTATTTTAAACCACTATGTGATTAATTTTCTGTACATTTTTGAATCGTAAGACAAAGTTGAAATACCTAAACTCACCAGCCACTCTGTTAGGTAAACATTACTTAATCCAGGTTAGACATCCTTTTGTCTTGAAAACGTCCTTGTGGTCTACATAGATATGCAGTTACTGCAGATTTCAGCCACACACATATTTGAGCCCTCTATTTCACAAACTGGATTCAGATCTGCTGACTGTGGAGGCTTTAGGAGAACAGAGAACCTGTCATGTTTAGGAGTCCAGCCTGAGATGTTTTGGGCTTTGTGATAAAGTACTTTTTCCTAGTGGAAATACCCATTAGAGGTTGGAAGAAATCTGGTCATAAAGGGACGGGCATCGTCAGCAGCAGTATTCAGTAAGTAGTAATATCTAATGCTTAGGTGGTAATAAAGAGCCTAAAGTGTCAAAAGAAAAAATATTTTCTACACAGATTGAACTGTTAAGACAAAATGGATCCTTTCTTGTAACTTGGTTACAGCAGATTGTGACTCTACCAGCAGAATGTTACAGGCAAATGGAGAATTGTCAGGTCAAGCAACATTTTTGAATCTGTTGCCGTTCACCTCTGGTGTGAAAAGCCTTAGTTTGTCTTTCGGTGACGGGAGTGGCATCTCGTGTGGTCTTCTGCCGGTGTAGTCAATTTGCTCCAACTGTTTATATGTTCTGGCTTTAGATATGGTCTTCTGCATACCTTAGTTCTAAAGAGTATTTATCTGAGCCGTAGTTACTTTTCAATTATTCTAAATCAATCTGCCTCATCTGATCATTTTTCTCGTAACTGCTGCTCACCGACATTTTTTAACCTTTCTTTGATAAAAGAAAGATAAAAAAAAGAAACATTGCATTGTGTTTAGACACAATGCAATGTTTCTAGAATATACTTTTAAGCATCATTTGATAATTTACCTTGTACTTGTATGTGTTTTGTCTCTCTTCCATTAGTCGGTTTTGTCACCAATTTTATTATTGATTCTAGTGTTTTATTTGCTGTTGCCTTGAAAAGCATTTATTTTCAAAGCTCAGTCGAGTTGATTTCCCAGTAAATAATATATTTCCCATGTAGCACCCTCTAGTTTATCTCACCTAAGTAACTTCAGTGAAATGAAATGGCTTTTTATCTCTTTCAGATACAATCACTGGTTTGATGGCATGGCCTTGATGCACCGGTTTCACATCTGTGAGGGCAGCGTAACTTACAGCAGCCGGTTCCTACGCAGTGATTCATACAACCTCAACTCAGAGAGGAACCGCATTGTGGTCTCAGAGTTTGGGACTGTCGCCATGCCTGACCCTTGCAAAAATTTCTTTGCACGTTTCCTTTCCCGTTTTCAGATTCCACGTATGTATTGCTTCTTTATTTATTGCATAATCCTGTTTGAAACACGCAGCACTAACAGTGGTCGTTTTAGTATTATACAACACGCATTATTATTATGCATTATTGATCATCTGGGTTGTGACTCCACTGATGTTGGAAAGGTTTCTTTTCCTCATCTCTGTTCAAAGTAAACCGTGAAGGAAAAAAACATTTGTCGTCACGCTGAAGAGGGCAGACACCATCAGAATACACCTGAAATCTCAGTGGTCAAGTTTTTTCTGCAGAGCTGAGCAAGAATAAAAATGCAGTTTGCCTTTGTTTGTGAAGTCAGCAAATGCAGCATCCTTTGCATTGCAATAGAATTACATTAACCAATTGAGAACATTTGTTGAATTAACAGCGGCGAATGAATTATTCTTGGTAATTTAATGTGGCAGTCGTGTCCAGAACGCAGCTTTTCAGCTTAGAAAAAGAGGTCAGTTTAATTGGTTGCGCTTACAAGCATATGCAGAAATCATTTCTTTCTCATTGACTCATTTGCAGTTACATTATGCTTGAAATGTGACTTCAACACGGAGATGGTCTGGTAGCGAATGATAATTTGTCAACACGAAATTATGACTGTTAAAAAAGCTGTCAAAATGACTATTCTCTTCTGTTTCATTAGGACAAGTACATTTGACAAAATAATTTGTCAGTTATTCAAAAATAAAAATAAATATGTTAAAATGTACTTTATTGATGCCAGAATTGGAAAATTATTGACAAGAAGAAGTCGACCTGTGACAATAATGATAAACTCCAAATAATGTTTCTAAATCCTAAAACTTGGTCTGGGATTGAGAGTTTTTCTGCTGGAAGTATTTCTACACTATTAAGTAGATGCCTTGTTTACATTTCTAGATATTATTAAGTTCAATTATTATGTACTATTTAGCAGCATAGTTCCACATGGTGAGGTATCATATTTGACGATGGGTAAGTTTTATTTTTAGATGACAGTTTGTGTTTGTTGGCTGTATGCAGAGATAGACTTAAAGCCCAAAAGACTATGTAAGTTTTATGGATAACCTGTGGGGATTTTTGACATCATCGAAACAGAAAACACAAAACATCGCCAAAAAAAGAGGAAAAAAAAAACCCGTTAAGACAATATCGTATATGGTGACTCAACGTTCAGATTCAGATTTGCAGTTAAGCACTAAATTATTCATACCCTTGATAGATTTGAATGTAAAATAATTGTTATTCTTCCAAGAAGCTTATTTCTGATAGGAATTGAAAACGGGTTCTCTCAAAAAATAATTTAAAAATGTAAGATTTCGCTGCTTTAATTAACGGTTTATTATAAACTGGGATTTTGAACATTATCCATGTCTCAGTAGTCTCCTGAAAAATCTTTACTGACATTACATGAGTCCAGATCTCTTTATTCTTGCTGACCTGTTTTCTGCTTGCTTCCACTGCTAATTTGACAGTTCATCTTACATTTGTGCTATATTATATTTTACACTTCAACCTGTTGCTGCTTTTAAATTAAGTTTACTAAAACTCTGTTTGAAGAGCTGCATTATCGGTTTATCAAATAATTTTACTGAATACATGAAAATCAATTTTTAGCCAGCAAAGAACAAGCAAGGAGTTATTAATTATACGTCTATTAACTGCAAGCTACGTTGCCTTGCATCCTAATTTCTTCTGTTCGTCCTGTGTTTGCTCCGTATTTTGGCTGGTTTTTCCCTCAGTTTCTCTGCCAACTTCTTTCACTCCCTTAGCTCTCTCTGATGATGTTAGAGCTATAAAGAGTGTTTTTCTTGAAACTCTTAACTTTTAAAGCTTTCTTCGGGAAAAAATAATAATTTGAAAGTATGAGTTGCTGACATGTGATGTGGTGCCAGGAAGCAAAGTGGAATGGTGTAAAAGATTGCTGGGCTGCCCTCAGGTGCTCAGGGGGAACGTGTTCAGGCCCAGGAATGTGCAGGATGAACGGCATCAAAACAAGTCATAAGCACGTAGTTCTGAGGTCCACACATTCTTTGTTAATGTTTTAAAGCTTTCATTTACATGGTGCTAACGAGGCAGCCGGGACAAACCCCTGAAAGGGTGGCAGAATTCAAACAATCAAAGAAAAGAAGAACATGCATTTATATTTTACTGCTCTTGTCCTTGATTGCGCAAGAGGTGCAATGAAAGTCTGCGGCATACTAATGAAAGCCTGAGTGTATGTGTGCGTGTGTCCATTATTATTATTATTATTATTATTATTATTATTATTATTATTATTATTATTATTATTATTATTATTATTATTATATAAGCAAAAAGAAAACACTTTTGAATGCATTCTGTGAAGGAGTGATGACTGAAAATCCAGCTTTAAACTTCTGCAAACTTAAGAAAAACAAGCTACTGGACTGGATGAGCATTTCCTTCTCTGACTGATAGGTACTTTTTCTCGAACCTATATAAAAAGACTACAGACAACGTATATGAATTTTATAGACAAAGCTTTTGCAAAAGGAGAACTCTCCGCCATGACCTCTCCAGGCCGTTCACAGAGAGTTCTGATCTCCTTCCACGCGAGCCCCTGTTTTATTGTCAAGCAGAACAGCCAGAAAAAAACAACAAAGGTCGTAAAACTTCTAACCTAAACAAACCAGCAACTCAGTTCCAGGTGTGATATCTGATCTACTATCTGAGCCCAGTTCAGCTCTAGGTCAAACTGTCAACAAAGAGGGAGGATAAACAAGAGACAAAATACGACTGCTCACAGGCAGTTAGGAGGTATTCTGGTTGATAAGAATTAAGGTCTGGGAAACACAGAGTTAACTGTCTCACATGAAGATGAAACAGTCAGTCGTAACCTCCAGGTCAGTTTATACACACATAAGGAAGAAAACACTTTATTAACATTAGACTGAATATGAACTAAAGTAATAACAAAATGATAATACCAAAAATCTCTATCACTGACGTACGTGAGAACGACGGAAATGTTTTGAATCACTATATGTTCTTGTCGTCCACATGTGTGAACAGAGCCCACAGATAATGCAAATGTGAACTTTGTCAAGTACAAGGGAGACTACTATGTCAGCACAGAAACCAACTTTATGAGGCGAGTGGATCCGCAAACTTTGGAGACAAAAGAGAAGGTGGGTAGTTAAAAATTCAACAAAGTCTCTTTATGAGACAGAGAGCTGATAAGAAGTCAGAGACTGAAGAGAAATGTGACAAGCACGAAGGATGAAATGTGTTTTTTTTAATTTATTTTTTTTATTGTCATTTCATGGTTAGGTGGACTGGAGTCAGTACGTTGCTGTAAACTCAGCCACAGCACACCCACACTACGACCGTGAAGGAGCAACATACAACATGGGCAATTCGTACGGCAGAGATGGTGACCTAGTTTTCTGTTTGCATAACCTCCCATGTAAACCTGTCAATCTCAACATTAAAGTGAAGGAAGTGCTACTTTTTGAAAGATGCTTCTTTTCCTGCGTCACTACATCTCGCAGAAGCATTGATGAACCTTTTCACATCATGTGACGACTAAATTAAAAGTTCATTTACTTCTATTAGAATCTTATGCTATTGACCAACAGAGAATAATGTGTAATTGTAAATTGGAAGGAAGGTTATTTGTGAATTAACGAAATGCTTCGCAAGGAAAAATCTGACAATGTCAATATTGTAGCTGTCCTGTTTTGGGGGGAAATCTGTAGAATAAGGTTTTTGAATAGCTCAATCTCAGTCAGACTGGATGGGCAGCTTCTGTAAACATGAGGTTTTAAATCTTGCCACAGTTTCTTGGGTGAATTCAAGTCTGACCTTGGCAAAGGCATTTTATGCATGAATATGCTTTGCACTAAACAATTCCAGATAAAGTGTTGCTGAAAAATGTAAGTTTTGGTCAGAGAACACATTTTTTCCCACTTGTTTTCTATGTTCCCTACATAGAATGTGACAAAATGATATATAATTTCTCCAGGTTTTTTCTACACCATCATCCGCATCCCTCCTGCTGAGGAAGCGGCAGCAAAGGAGGACTCGGCAGACCTCAGCGGGGCCGAGGTGATCTGCTCCATCCCTGCAGCTGAATCCAGAAAACCTTCTTATTATCACAGCTTTGGTGAGACACACACACTTCGGCATGATAAGTAGTCACCTCTCTTTACCTAATCTGCAGCTTAGATGTTTAAAGAACTAAAATCAGTGACTACTGTTAAAGACATTGCTTCAATGACCCGTTCTGCTAAAATGAAACATTTGTATGGCTTTAATTATTCCATTTCTTATGTAAGTTCTTGTGTTCTCCTGTCACAGCTTCCTTTTTTCCAGTCACACTCTGTCGTTCTACCTCCGATTCACAGAAAAGCAACACCAATTTTATTCGTCTCCTTGAAAGTTTTAAAGTGTCTGGTAGATATATTTACGCCCTTTCAACCTCAAAAGGTTGAAATAAAGTTATTGTTTTTCTTGTCTGCGTTTAAAATAAAATTACAAATCATGTGGATGAAACTGAAATTGAAAATTTTTTTTGGCCTACATGACAACGTGGTGGAAAACCAGCACAACACAGCACATCACCCCAAAACTGAAAAAAACAAACCAAAAAAATAATAAACCAAAACTTCCAGTTGTGATTTTTCTGTAAGGTGGTCCTACAAAGGTTTGACTGAAAGGGTTTAATGCAAAAAGTCTACCAGAGACTAGAGACTAACAAAAAAATAATCTATCCAGCAAGCATATGAACAGCAGAAAACTGGAATAAAACGAAAGGCATGTCAGATCAAAAAGTCACATAGAAGAGTGAAAATGGCATTCAGGCCTGCAGAAACAAATCAGAGTGTATGACAGCCAAATGGCCAAAAGGCCCAGAAGCTTCAAAGTCACAGATTTGAAGAGGACTGCTAATTGATGATTTGTGTGAAACCTGGGAGGCAGCACCCAATTACAAAGAAGGAGGGGGCTGAAACAAAGCATATGACATTATATCTCTTAAAAACAAACATCGATTGGGATGTGGCAAAAACGCACGCTACTTTCCCCCCCCATTATCTGTTAGTTTCTTTTATTTGTAAAAACAAATGAAAACCAAGTAAAAAAAAATAAAAATCTTTTCACTTCAATTACTTTGTCGATTACATAAAGCCGTAATAAAGTGTTTAGAAGTTAGTGTGACAAAATGAAGGGTTTTTACATTTATAGCATTCGTTTTATGAATGCTATGAAGCCTTTTCTGCTAGACACTCTAATGCCTAAAAGAACTCGAAAAGGGACATTTTTTTTTTCTTTTTTGGCTATATTCCAAACACACAGCTTTACAAAACGCTCACGGTAATGTTTAGTTTATCTGGTTGTAGTTTGTGTTTACCCGTCTGCGTTGGCTTACCTTCCAATCCACACATCAACACTTACAAGCACTTTGCAATTATATTTAGTGACTGCGCTCTTTGTTGGGAGTCCTCAACAAAAGAAAACAAAATTCAAGCAGCAAGAAGATTTGGGCTGGGAGAATTAAACCCTCCAACAAACAAACGCATGAACACAGATCTCAGTAAACTCAGTAGCGTCAGAAGCTCAAAGCCCAGCATGGAGTCTCAGGCAGTGCGGAAAGTCGCTGCCGCATTTGAAAGACCATCGGCGGAGTAAAATGTGGAGGAGTCTGTTTTTTGATGGTTGCGCAGCGTATGATTGGACATTACAAGTCAGCTGATACCCATAGGGGCAACAAAGTAGCCATTAAAAATCAAGCTCTGGGCCAATGCCAGTCATCTAAAGCAAATAAGACTCCATTACTTGGCTGATTTAACACAGCGTTGCTCCATTTGTTCCCTGATCACATCTCGGTCTATATTTCTGGCGGACCACCCTGTCCCACCAGACTTCTGGGCACCGAGAAATCCCACATGTCAGGAAAACATTGTGCAGTTGTACAACAAAACCTAATATTACATTTGTCAGAGGAGTTCCAGGTCGTGTTCCAGCTCTTTTTTTATTTATTTATTTTGAAACGCTTTTGTCTGAACTTTTGCCTATGAAGTGAAAGATGGAAAATGTCATCGCTGGGACCAGAAATATTACATTTGCAAGCTGATTTTGATGCATGTGGCTTCCTCCAGTCAGAGAAGAAATAAGTTAACAGCATTAGATGGCTGAAGGGACCGAACAAAGTGCAGCTGCTTGTCGGTGTGTGTGCAGGTACGGAAGTCGTCGCAAAGATTGTTTTGATGGATCACAAGGCCCTGCTGTAATTGAGACCTGTTTTATTACATCTGGGTATCACTTTATCAGGATTAGTTACTCTTTTCAGTGACTTTTCTTTTAATTCTATACAGTACCAGTCAGAGCTTTAACTGCACTCATCATCAGCGTGAATGTGCAGTTGAGTTGGTCCAATTTGAGCAATTCTTTCGTGCACACTGGATTAGTAATGTAGCATAAATCTTTAATAATTAAAAAAAGAAACATTAAAATTAGTTTTTAAATAAAGTGTCCCAATATTAAGTCTCTGTAGTTGTCCATATCTCAAACAATAGATCAACTGTGCTGAAAATTAATTTCTAAGTCAGGAAAAAAAAAAAAAAATCTTAAACTGTTCTGCCAATTCTGATACTAAAAAAAAAAATTTTCTCAACACCTTGTAAAAATAATTTTGACCAAATTTTAGTGGTGGTATATGCATACAGTGTGACATTGAGTAGATTAAAGAAAACCTAAACTTATTTAGCGTTATTGGTTTAAAAAGCACTGAAGATGTAAGCTCTGTTAAAGAATCTACCCCAAATTAACAGCTCAACATTTGCAGGTAATGACTATGTAATCCAGTCATTACCTGAATTTTATATCCCTTGTTATCTTTCATAAAAAGCTTGGAAAACTTTAATGCGCTATGTAAGAAACGAGCAGTTCTTCATCTTGTTCTTTCTCATGCATGCGTTTCCTCCTGTGTGTTTCCCGTTTCTCTCCAGTCATGTCTGAGAACTACATTGTGTTTGTGGAGCAGCCGATAAAGCTGAATGTGCTCAAGTTCATGCTCTACAAGATCATGGGAGAAAGTTTTCAAAAGATCCTGAGCTGGGAGCCACAGTACGGCACCGTTTTCCACCTGGTCGACAGGCACACAGGCCAGGTGCGTGACAACAGCGTCTGAGCTGCTGGAAACTGCTGGAAACGGCTTAAATAATCAAAAGGTCTAATAAATCGCTAGAGGGCAAACGGTTCAAGAAACGTTCTTCTTAAACTCTAAGCAAGGTGTGCGTGACATCTTTTGTTTCGTTTTTGTTAACTGGTATTTGTGCAATTTTAGACTTTAGAAAAGTTTTTTGTTTTTTTAAGTTCAGCTCAAGGGTTCTTGAAGAAACTTGGCTGAAGTTATCGTACAACAGCATCTGAAAAACATTCAGTAGCTTTATACTCATCAAAAAGGAAGCAGTTCCTCAAATGATCTTTTTTTTTCTTTACAGTTTAAAAGATTTTTCAACTTAAATCCCAAAAAATTGAAATAAATGATAATTTTTCTTAAAAAATATGAAGGGATTTTAGAAACGACACAACCTCCTCTCTCCCCCTCCCCAACCTGTTGTTTAAGCAGTTTGGAAAGCCTAAACTTCTGTGTGTGATCGAATTCAACGAGTACAATGAAGTGCAATGAAACCCGCAGTCGCATGTAGCTGCTGAAAAAGCAATAACAAAAATTTGAAAGCCGTGCATAGATCTGTGCATGCACGATTACATTTTTTTCTTATTTGGTCTGATGAGGACACACTCGGATGCTGGAGCCTTTCCTCAAACATTGTTACTATCATTTTCTTCGTCTCATTACACAGAGCACCCAATAAACTCACAGAAAAAATAAATAAATAAAAGAAATTCTGAAAAAGTTATGGTGCAGATGGAACTCATCTCCAAATATTTAGCGGAATCAGCTCACTTCCCGCTAACTTGTTTGTCTGATGGATTTTTACGTTGCTAGCGTTTCGTACTGTTCAGTGGTTCTAACTGGTCCAACAGGAGAGCAAAGTGAAATACCGAACGGCACCGATGTTCACGCTGCATCAGATCAACGCCTACGAGGACAATGGCTTCCTGGTGATGGACATGTGCTGCGGGGATGATGGCGATGTCATTGGAGAATTCACTCTGGAGAATCTTCGGCGGGAATCGGGAGACGATTTAGACAAGGTGGACTAAAGCCTTCCGTTGAAAATCTGAGCTCAGAGTTATGTGTTGAACTTTTTTTTTTTTTTCATTTTGTCACATAACAAACTTGAATATATTTTCTCAAGATTTTACACGATAGACAAGCAAAACATAACCTCCAAAGTCTTTTGTAACCTATGAAAGGTTTCCTGTAGCTCATAGTTCTCACTGCTTTATCACAACTAACCATGATAAATAGTTTATATCTGCAGTTTGAAGAAATGTGAAAAAAAAAATCAAGAGGTGTGAATATGTTTGCAAGGCTTTTGTAATTAGCAACAAAATTAAGTTTTGTTTTTTTCAGGTTGTGTTTGTTAAAAAAAACATTAAATATGCTTGTGTGTTTTTTTTTTTAAGAAAAAAGGTTTCTGGTACTTTGAGCTTGTAAAGTGTCTGCTTTCAAAAGGGTGGGAGAGGTTTGGTTTAATCAAGAAAAACTTTCATCAAACCATCAAAGTCTGTTTTTTCTTCAATTGTTCCCGAGTGTTATCATTTAAATAGCATCATTGTTCAAAGTAGCCGCACGTTTTGCAGCTTTTCATTTGTGATGTCTGACAAATGTTCTGTTTTTTTATATTTTTATTTTGCAGTTTTACAATTCCTTGTGCAGAAACCTCCCGAGGAGATATGTGCTTCCTCTGAATGTGGACGAACAAGCTCCTCTGGACCAAAACCTTGTCATGCTGCAAAACTGTAAAGCCACAGCAAAGAGGACAAATTCTGGGGAGGTGGGATCCTACAGTATTCACTTCTCTGTATGGTCACTGCACTTCCAAAGTAATATGTTTAAGTGTAAAGAATCAGACCTATAATCATGATAAATACAGGCAATTCTCTCCCACACATTCCAAGCAATTACCCAGCATAATGAGATAAGCTACTTTCTGCAAGACAGTAATTTCATGACTTATCACGGGCGAAAATGATGTCCACCATGCAGTGAACAATTGCCATTTAATAGCTTCTCTGAACTCCCCACACACACTCTCTCTCTCTTTACGCTCTGTTTTCTTATGGCACAATAAAGAAAGAAACGGTGATGTCCAAGTTGTCATGGCTACCTGAGCAATAGTTTTCTCAGTATTGGTTCTTAGACACTTTGTGTTATATTCACCTTTAAAAAAACGGGAATGTGTTGCTGATTTCCACTGAGAACAAATGGATATTGCATATTGCAGTTAATTGGAACCGAGTTTGTGCGGAAATGTGTATGTTTTTATTTGAGGGATGATTTACTGCAGGGATCCATTCGTCTTTAGCAGGCAAGAATTGAATGTTCAACATCCCCAGAGAGCAGTGTGATGTAAATTAGACCTTTTAGGGGGTTTGGTGGGGGGGGGGAAAACCCTCCTCTGCATTAATTTCTGACCCAACAGGTTTACATGACCCACGAGGAGCTTCACAATGATGAGCTGCTGCAGTACGGTGGCCTGGAGTTCCCTCAGATCAATTACGACAAGTACAACGGCAGACCTTACCGCTACTTCTACGCATGTGGCTTTGGGCACGTCTTTGCTGACTCGCTGCTCAAGATGGACGTCCACACCAAGGAGCTTAAGGTGCCCTATTATCCAGAGACAACTTAGATAGAGCTCACGGCTAAATGCAGCAGTTTTACAAAAGAGCCCTGTAAGCTCCGATAAAAGGTCTGCAATCCCCTCCCGCCCCCCTGTTTAGGTGTGGCGCTATCCGGGCTTGTTCCCGTCTGAGCCTGTCTTCGTTGCCTCGCCCGACGCTGCGGAGGAAGATGATGGAGTGGTCCTGTCAGTCATTATCACTCCTAGAAAGGTAATTTAACAAAAAACACCACTGACACAAACCACCAGCACTTATTGTCAACTCAAAGTGCCTCTCAAAAGCGTTTATAAACCTTTCACATTTTCTTTACGACCACAAAGTGCGATGTATTTTCGTAAGACTTTATATGACAGATTAAAATCACATGTAGGATAAACAGCAAATTTTCAGCTTCTCACTATTCGATCTGTTTACCTGAACTCGGAAAGCAGTATTTACCAACTGCACACAAGGGTGCTCTGGTCAAATTAGACCAAAACCGATCTTTATGGCTTGTATACAAAATGTTATACTAACACTGCACATCACCCTGAACACACCATCCACACAGTGCAACAAAGATATGCAGCTGCAGAGCAGCAAAATGTGTTTCTGNCTGCTTTAATTAACGGTTTATTATAAACTGGGATTTTGAACATTATCCATGTCTCAGTAGTCTCCTGAAAAATCTTTACTGACATTACATGAGTCCAGATCTCTTTATTCTTGCTGACCTGTTTTCTGCTTGCTTCCACTGCTAATTTGACAGTTCATCTTACATTTGTGCTATATTATATTTTACACTTCAACCTGTTGCTGCTTTTAAATTAAGTTTACTAAAACTCTGTTTGAAGAGCTGCATTATCGGTTTATCAAATAATTTTACTGAATACATGAAAATCAATTTTTAGCCAGCAAAGAACAAGCAAGGAGTTATTAATTATACGTCTATTAACTGCAAGCTACGTTGCCTTGCATCCTAATTTCTTCTGTTCGTCCTGTGTTTGCTCCGTATTTTGGCTGGTTTTTCCCTCAGTTTCTCTGCCAACTTCTTTCACTCCCTTAGCTCTCTCTGATGATGTTAGAGCTATAAAGAGTGTTTTTCTTGAAACTCTTAACTTTTAAAGCTTTCTTCGGGAAAAAATAATAATTTGAAAGTATGAGTTGCTGACATGTGATGTGGTGCCAGGAAGCAAAGTGGAATGGTGTAAAAGATTGCTGGGCTGCCCTCAGGTGCTCAGGGGGAACGTGTTCAGGCCCAGGAATGTGCAGGATGAACGGCATCAAAACAAGTCATAAGCACGTAGTTCTGAGGTCCACACATTCTTTGTTAATGTTTTAAAGCTTTCATTTACATGGTGCTAACGAGGCAGCCGGGACAAACCCCTGAAAGGGTGGCAGAATTCAAACAATCAAAGAAAAGAAGAACATGCATTTATATTTTACTGCTCTTGTCCTTGATTGCGCAAGAGGTGCAATGAAAGTCTGCGGCATACTAATGAAAGCCTGAGTGTATGTGTGCGTGTGTCCATTATTATTATTATTATTATTATTATTATTATTATTATTATTATTATTATTATTATTATTATTATTATTATTATATAAGCAAAAAGAAAACACTTTTGAATGCATTCTGTGAAGGAGTGATGACTGAAAATCCAGCTTTAAACTTCTGCAAACTTAAGAAAAACAAGCTACTGGACTGGATGAGCATTTCCTTCTCTGACTGATAGGTACTTTTTCTCGAACCTATATAAAAAGACTACAGACAACGTATATGAATTTTATAGACAAAGCTTTTGCAAAAGGAGAACTCTCCGCCATGACCTCTCCAGGCCGTTCACAGAGAGTTCTGATCTCCTTCCACGCGAGCCCCTGTTTTATTGTCAAGCAGAACAGCCAGAAAAAAACAACAAAGGTCGTAAAACTTCTAACCTAAACAAACCAGCAACTCAGTTCCAGGTGTGATATCTGATCTACGATCTGAGCCCAGTTCAGCTCTAGGTCAAACTGTCAACAAAGAGGGAGGATAAACAAGAGACAAAATACGACTGCTCACAGGCAGTTAGGAGGTATTCTGGTTGATAAGAATTAAGGTCTGGGAAACACAGAGTTAACTGTCTCACATGAAGATGAAACAGTCAGTCGTAACCTCCAGGTCAGTTTATACACACATAAGGAAGATTAACATTATACTGAATATGAACTAAAGTAATAACAAAATGATAATACCAAAAGTCAGTCGTAACCTCCAGGTCAGTTTATACACACATAAGGAAGAAACACTTTCACAATAACATTAGACTGAAAGTAATAACAAAATGATAATACCAAAAATCTCTATCACTGACGTACGTGAGAACGACGGAAATGTTTTGAATCACTATATGTTCTTGTCGTCCACATGTGTGAACAGAGCCCACAGATAATGCAAATGTGAACTTTGTCAAGTACAAGGGAGACTACTATGTCAGCACAGAAACCAACTTTATGAGGCGAGTGGATCCGCAAACTTTGGAGACAAAAGAGAAGGTGGGTAGTTAAAAATTCAACAAAGTCTCTTTATGAGACAGAGAGCTGATAAGAAGTCAGAGACTGAAGAGAAATGTGACAAGCACGAAGGATGAAATGTGTTTTTTTTAATTTATTTTTTTTATTGTCATTTCATGGTTAGGTGGACTGGAGTCAGTACGTTGCTGTAAACTCAGCCACAGCACACCCACACTACGACCGTGAAGGAGCAACATACAACATGGGCAATTCGTACGGCAGAGATGGTGACCTAGTTTTCTGTTTGCATAACCTCCCATGTAAACCTGTCAATCTCAACATTAAAGTGAAGGAAGTGCTACTTTTTGAAAGATGCTTCTTTTCCTGCGTCACTACATCTCGCAGAAGCATTGATGAACCTTTTCACATCATGTGACGACTAAATTAAAAGTTCATTTACTTCTATTAGAATCTTATGCTATTGACCAACAGAGAATAATGTGTAATTGTAAATTGGAAGGAAGGTTATTTGTGAATTAACGAAATGCTTCGCAAGGAAAAATCTGACAATGTCAATATTGTAGCTGTCCTGTTTTGGGGGGAAATCTGTAGAATAAGGTTTTTGAATAGCTCAATCTCAGTCAGACTGGATGGGCAGCTTCTGTAAACATGAGGTTTTAAATCTTGCCACAGTTTCTTGGGTGAATTCAAGTCTGACCTTGGCAAAGGCATTTTATGCATGAATATGCTTTGCACTAAACAATTCCAGATAAAGTGTTGCTGAAAAATGTAAGTTTTGGTCAGAGAACACATTTTTTCCCACTTGTTTTCTATGTTCCCTACATAGAATGTGACAAAATGATATATAATTTCTCCAGGTTTTTTCTACACCATCATCCGCATCCCTCCTGCTGAGGAAGCGGCAGCAAAGGAGGACTCGGCAGACCTCAGCGGGGCCGAGGTGATCTGCTCCATCCCTGCAGCTGAATCCAGAAAACCTTCTTATTATCACAGCTTTGGTGAGACACACACACTTCGGCATGATAAGTAGTCACCTCTCTTTACCTAATCTGCAGCTTAGATGTTTAAAGAACTAAAATCAGTGACTACTGTTAAAGACATTGCTTCAATGACCCGTTCTGCTAAAATGAAACATTTGTATGGCTTTAATTATTCCATTTCTTATGTAAGTTCTTGTGTTCTCCTGTCACAGCTTCCTTTTTTCCAGTCACACTCTGTCGTTCTACCTCCGATTCACAGAAAAGCAACACCAATTTTATTCGTCTCCTTGAAAGTTTTAAAGTGTCTGGTAGATATATTTACGCCCTTTCAACCTCAAAAGGTTGAAATAAAGTTATTGTTTTTCTTGTCTGCGTTTAAAATAAAATTACAAATCATGTGGATGAAACTGAAATTGAAAATTTTTTTTGGCCTACATGACAACGTGGTGGAAAACCAGCACAACACAGCACATCACCCCAAAACTGAAAAAAACAAACCAAAAAAATAATAAACCAAAACTTCCAGTTGTGATTTTTCTGTAAGGTGGTCCTACAAAGGTTTGACTGAAAGGGTTTAATGCAAAAAGTCTACCAGAGACTAGAGACTAACAAAAAAATAATCTATCCAGCAAGCATATGAACAGCAGAAAACTGGAATAAAACGAAAGGCATGTCAGATCAAAAAGTCACATAGAAGAGTGAAAATGGCATTCAGGCCTGCAGAAACAAATCAGAGTGTATGACAGCCAAATGGCCAAAAGGCCCAGAAGCTTCAAAGTCACAGATTTGAAGAGGACTGCTAATTGATGATTTGTGTGAAACCTGGGAGGCAGCACCCAATTACAAAGAAGGAGGGGGCTGAAACAAAGCATATGACATTATATCTCTTAAAAACAAACATCGATTGGGATGTGGCAAAAACGCACGCTACTTTCCCCCCCCATTATCTGTTAGTTTCTTTTATTTGTAAAAACAAATGAAAACCAAGTAAAAAAAAATAAAAATCTTTTCACTTCAATTACTTTGTCGATTACATAAAGCCGTAATAAAGTGTTTAGAAGTTAGTGTGACAAAATGAAGGGTTTTTACATTTATAGCATTCGTTTTATGAATGCTATGAAGCCTTTTCTGCTAGACACTCTAATGCCTAAAAGAACTCGAAAAGGGACATTTTTTTTTTCTTTTTTGGCTATATTCCAAACACACAGCTTTACAAAACGCTCACGGTAATGTTTAGTTTATCTGGTTGTAGTTTGTGTTTACCCGTCTGCGTTGGCTTACCTTCCAATCCACACATCAACACTTACAAGCACTTTGCAATTATATTTAGTGACTGCGCTCTTTGTTGGGAGTCCTCAACAAAAGAAAACAAAATTCAAGCAGCAAGAAGATTTGGGCTGGGAGAATTAAACCCTCCAACAAACAAACGCATGAACACAGATCTCAGTAAACTCAGTAGCGTCAGAAGCTCAAAGCCCAGCATGGAGTCTCAGGCAGTGCGGAAAGTCGCTGCCGCATTTGAAAGACCATCGGCGGAGTAAAATGTGGAGGAGTCTGTTTTTTGATGGTTGCGCAGCGTATGATTGGACATTACAAGTCAGCTGATACCCATAGGGGCAACAAAGTAGCCATTAAAAATCAAGCTCTGGGCCAATGCCAGTCATCTAAAGCAAATAAGACTCCATTACTTGGCTGATTTAACACAGCGTTGCTCCATTTGTTCCCTGATCACATCTCGGTCTATATTTCTGGCGGACCACCCTGTCCCACCAGACTTCTGGGCACCGAGAAATCCCACATGTCAGGAAAACATTGTGCAGTTGTACAACAAAACCTAATATTACATTTGTCAGAGGAGTTCCAGGTCGTGTTCCAGCTCTTTTTTTATTTATTTATTTTGAAACGCTTTTGTCTGAACTTTTGCCTATGAAGTGAAAGATGGAAAATGTCATCGCTGGGACCAGAAATATTACATTTGCAAGCTGATTTTGATGCATGTGGCTTCCTCCAGTCAGAGAAGAAATAAGTTAACAGCATTAGATGGCTGAAGGGACCGAACAAAGTGCAGCTGCTTGTCGGTGTGTGTGCAGGTACGGAAGTCGTCGCAAAGATTGTTTTGATGGATCACAAGGCCCTGCTGTAATTGAGACCTGTTTTATTACATCTGGGTATCACTTTATCAGGATTAGTTACTCTTTTCAGTGACTTTTCTTTTAATTCTATACAGTACCAGTCAGAGCTTTAACTGCACTCATCATCAGCGTGAATGTGCAGTTGAGTTGGTCCAATTTGAGCAATTCTTTCGTGCACACTGGATTAGTAATGTAGCATAAATCTTTAATAATTAAAAAAAGAAACATTAAAATTAGTTTTTAAATAAAGTGTCCCAATATTAAGTCTCTGTAGTTGTCCATATCTCAAACAATAGATCAACTGTGCTGAAAATTAATTTCTAAGTCAGGAAAAAAAAAAAAAAAAATCTTAAACTGTTCTGCCAATTCTGATACTAAAAAAAAAAATTTTCTCAACACCTTGTAAAAATAATTTTGACCAAATTTTAGTGGTGGTATATGCATACAGTGTGACATTGAGTAGATTAAAGAAAACCTAAACTTATTTAGCGTTATTGGTTTAAAAAGCACTGAAGATGTAAGCTCTGTTAAAGAATCTACCCCAAATTAACAGCTCAACATTTGCAGGTAATGACTATGTAATCCAGTCATTACCTGAATTTTATATCCCTTGTTATCTTTCATAAAAAGCTTGGAAAACTTTAATGCGCTATGTAAGAAACGAGCAGTTCTTCATCTTGTTCTTTCTCATGCATGCGTTTCCTCCTGTGTGTTTCCCGTTTCTCTCCAGTCATGTCTGAGAACTACATTGTGTTTGTGGAGCAGCCGATAAAGCTGAATGTGCTCAAGTTCATGCTCTACAAGATCATGGGAGAAAGTTTTCAAAAGATCCTGAGCTGGGAGCCACAGTACGGCACCGTTTTCCACCTGGTCGACAGGCACACAGGCCAGGTGCGTGACAACAGCGTCTGAGCTGCTGGAAACTGCTGGAAACGGCTTAAATAATCAAAAGGTCTAATAAATCGCTAGAGGGCAAACGGTTCAAGAAACGTTCTTCTTAAACTCTAAGCAAGGTGTGCGTGACATCTTTTGTTTCGTTTTTGTTAACTGGTATTTGTGCAATTTTAGACTTTAGAAAAGTTTTTTGTTTTTTTAAGTTCAGCTCAAGGGTTCTTGAAGAAACTTGGCTGAAGTTATCGTACAACAGCATCTGAAAAACATTCAGTAGCTTTATACTCATCAAAAAGGAAGCAGTTCCTCAAATGATCTTTTTTTTTCTTTACAGTTTAAAAGATTTTTCAACTTAAATCCCAAAAAATTGAAATAAATGATAATTTTTCTTAAAAAATATGAAGGGATTTTAGAAACGACACAACCTCCTCTCTCCCCCTCCCCAACCTGTTGTTTAAGCAGTTTGGAAAGCCTAAACTTCTGTGTGTGATCGAATTCAACGAGTACAATGAAGTGCAATGAAACCCGCAGTCGCATGTAGCTGCTGAAAAAGCAATAACAAAAATTTGAAAGCCGTGCATAGATCTGTGCATGCACGATTACATTTTTTTCTTATTTGGTCTGATGAGGACACACTCGGATGCTGGAGCCTTTCCTCAAACATTGTTACTATCATTTTCTTCGTCTCATTACACAGAGCACCCAATAAACTCACAGAAAAAATAAATAAATAAAAGAAATTCTGAAAAAGTTATGGTGCAGATGGAACTCATCTCCAAATATTTAGCGGAATCAGCTCACTTCCCGCTAACTTGTTTGTCTGATGGATTTTTACGTTGCTAGCGTTTCGTACTGTTCAGTGGTTCTAACTGGTCCAACAGGAGAGCAAAGTGAAATACCGAACGGCACCGATGTTCACGCTGCATCAGATCAACGCCTACGAGGACAATGGCTTCCTGGTGATGGACATGTGCTGCGGGGATGATGGCGATGTCATTGGAGAATTCACTCTGGAGAATCTTCGGCGGGAATCGGGAGACGATTTAGACAAGGTGGACTAAAGCCTTCCGTTGAAAATCTGAGCTCAGAGTTATGTGTTGAACTTTTTTTTTTTTTTCATTTTGTCACATAACAAACTTGAATATATTTTCTCAAGATTTTACACGATAGACAAGCAAAACATAACCTCCAAAGTCTTTTGTAACCTATGAAAGGTTTCCTGTAGCTCATAGTTCTCACTGCTTTATCACAACTAACCATGATAAATAGTTTATATCTGCAGTTTGAAGAAATGTGAAAAAAAAAATCAAGAGGTGTGAATATGTTTGCAAGGCTTTTGTAATTAGCAACAAAATTAAGTTTTGTTTTTTTCAGGTTGTGTTTGTTAAAAAAAACATTAAATATGCTTGTGTGTGTTTTTTTTTTTTTTAAGAAAAAAGGTTTCTGGTACTTTGAGCTTGTAAAGTGTCTGCTTTCAAAAGTGTGGGAGAGATTTGTTTTAATCAAGAAAAACTTTCATCAAACCATCAAAGTCTGTTTTTTCTTCAATTGTTCCCGAGTGTTATCATTTAAATAGCATCATTGTTCAAAGTAGCCGCACGTTTTGCAGCTTTTCATTTGTGATGTCTGACAAATGTTCTGTTTTTTTATATTTTTATTTTGCAGTTTTACAATTCCTTGTGCAGAAACCTCCCGAGGAGATATGTGCTTCCTCTGAATGTGGACGAACAAGCTCCTCTGGACCAAAACCTTGTCATGCTGCAAAACTGTAAAGCCACAGCAAAGAGGACAAATTCTGGGGAGGTGGGATCCTACAGTATTCACTTCTCTGTATGGTCACTGCACTTCCAAAGTAATATGTTTAAGTGTAAAGAATCAGACCTATAATCATGATAAATACAGGCAATTCTCTCCCACACATTCCAAGCAATTACCCAGCATAATGAGATAAGCTACTTTCTGCAAGACAGTAATTTCATGACTTATCACGGGCGAAAATGATGTCCACCATGCAGTGAACAATTGCCATTTAATAGCTTCTCTGAACTCCCCACACACACTCTCTCTCTCTTTACGCTCTGTTTTCTTATGGCACAATAAAGAAAGAAACGGTGATGTCCAAGTTGTCATGGCTACCTGAGCAATAGTTTTCTCAGTATTGGTTCTTAGACACTTTGTGTTATATTCACCTTTAAAAAAACGGGAATGTGTTGCTGATTTCCACTGAGAACAAATGGATATTGCATATTGCAGTTAATTGGAACCGAGTTTGTGCGGAAATGTGTATGTTTTTATTTGAGGGATGATTTACTGCAGGGATCCATTCGTCTTTAGCAGGCAAGAATTGAATGTTCAACATCCCCAGAGAGCAGTGTGATGTAAATTAGACCTTTTAGGGGGTTTGGTGGGGGGGGGGAAAACCCTCCTCTGCATTAATTTCTGACCCAACAGGTTTACATGACCCACGAGGAGCTTCACAATGATGAGCTGCTGCAGTACGGTGGCCTGGAGTTCCCTCAGATCAATTACGACAAGTACAACGGCAGACCTTACCGCTACTTCTACGCATGTGGCTTTGGGCACGTCTTTGCTGACTCGCTGCTCAAGATGGACGTCCACACCAAGGAGCTTAAGGTGCCCTATTATCCAGAGACAACTTAGATAGAGCTCACGGCTAAATGCAGCAGTTTTACAAAAGAGCCCTGTAAGCTCCGATAAAAGGTCTGCAATCCCCTCCCGCCCCCCTGTTTAGGTGTGGCGCTATCCGGGCTTGTTCCCGTCTGAGCCTGTCTTCGTTGCCTCGCCCGACGCTGCGGAGGAAGATGATGGAGTGGTCCTGTCAGTCATTATCACTCCTAGAAAGGTAATTTAACAAAAAACACCACTGACACAAACCACCAGCACTTATTGTCAACTCAAAGTGCCTCTCAAAAGCGTTTATAAACCTTTCACATTTTCTTTACGACCACAAAGTGCGATGTATTTTCGTAAGACTTTATATGACAGATTAAAATCACATGTAGGATAAACAGCAAATTTTCAGCTTCTCACTATTCGATCTGTTTACCTGAACTCGGAAAGCAGTATTTACCAACTGCACACAAGGGTGCTCTGGTCAAATTAGACCAAAACCGATCTTTATGGCTTGTATACAAAATGTTATACTAACACTGCACATCACCCTGAACACACCATCCACACAGTGCAACAAAGATATGCAGCTGCAGAGCAGCAAAATGTGTTTCTGCAAAATATTGACTACGTATTTACACCGCATTAAAAAAAAAAAATCATTTAACTTTTATCCTTGCCTCTTTCTTCTGCCCTCTGTTGGTCTTTCATACAAGATCTACTGAAGTTTGTTGCTGTAATGTTAACAAAGGTTCAAGGGGTATGAATACATTTCCAAGGCAGTGTAAGTAGGTTTTATTCAAGTGATAATAAAAAACCTACTTTGTGAGGTGTGCAGAGAAACAACATTGTTAGCGAGTCTTTAAACTTTCTTTTTCCACTTATGCACCGTTGAAGGGAAAGATAAATCCACTGCTACTTTTAGTGAGACTGTGCTCCTTTTGTAACCCCTTTATTTATTTTATTTTATTTTATTTTTTTACGTATTGCATTTTATCTCCTCCTGCATCTGTTTCCAGGAGAAGAGTACTTTCTTACTCGTTCTGGATGCCAAGACCTTCACCGAGCTGGGGAGAGCCGAGGTCCCTGTCAGTATCCCATGTGGGACCCATGGCGTGTTTAACGAGACGGGCTAGACGTGCCACTGTTTGAAGCTCTACAGCAAAACCGCTGAAAGCAAACCAGCAAGAAATCTACTTTATCCACAGGATGGAATATTTCTCTTGATATCGCTGCCTATAAACATTCCTGTAGTGGAAAAAAAAGGAGAAGACGTAAGACCAGGGGAAAACTGCACACTCATAGTATTTGTTTGTTCCTCTCTGAATGAGATTGATGCACTTCCTTGCTGCGTCTTGGTGTACCAGTTGGATGGTGATCTTTTAGAGACTTAAAGGCATTTTTTTTTCTAATTACTTTCTCAAAAAATTTGTAATGCCCCTTTCAGAAAAAGGACTGAGCACCTTGCACTTGAAAGGACTAGAAAACAATAAATTAAAATCAATATACACTTAAAAAAAAATCATTTTTTTTTCTTTTAAAGTGTTTTTGCATCACCACACCATCAGAAACACTATACTCCCATAGAGAAGAAAACAGCACTTAGGAAACAAAAATGCATCAGAGAAAATTCAATTTCTGTCGAAGTAATGTGATAAAAATGAACAACGTCTGAAACGGCTGCAAAACAAATGGATCTAACAGGTCAATAGCTTTCTGAGAGTCTAGTGGAGGTTGCATTATTCTGTGTTGTCTTACTGAAAACAACCCAAAACAAAGCTGCCGGACACATACGCATTGATATTTAGGGCCACATATGAGACCAACGGCAGCTTGTATTGAACTGTGAGCTGAGCAAAAACACATGTTCAACCTGTAATGACAAGTTGAAGGTGTTGCCCTTCAAATCCTCTCCTGGATTGACTTTATTGATATTTTTTTTTAGTTCCTACAGTGATTTGAATTAACTGATTTGAAGCGAATCTTTGTTCTTTTCAGGCACTTTGTGAAAAAGCCGAGAGGTTTCAAAAAATGTCAAGTCTCGTAAATATGGATATTTTATGGCTTATGCATTTGCAGTGCTTTGAAAGTGACTATAAACCAAGGGATTTTTGGTAAGTTTTAAATATGTCTCAACTTTAGATGACTCAAAATGAAAGAGGTTGTGCAGAGGTTTCATGTTTAGCCTGTCCCTATTACTCCTCACTAATTGAAACGGGATGGAAAAGAGCCATAATGCAATATTTAGATTAATTACCAATTACATGGCAGTTCCATATTATCCTAGGGAATTAACAAAACTTCTGTTTTTTTGTCATTATTCTCTTCTCCAGCTTCGTGTCCTGATAAATTTACTTTATGGGTCTCCCATGACACAAATTAATTTGTTCACAATTCTTGATCTAATCAATCATGCTTACCTTCTGTGAGTGTTTGGCTGCTTGTGTGTAAGGGATGGTTTTCTGTGTATCCATCCCTAGACTGTTGCTAATGTGAGGTTGGGTCATATTGGTTAACGGTACCAGGAGGAAAACCCAGAAATCAAGCTTATTTTGGTGTGTTTCTGGATACAGAGTCATGTTAATATCTGATCCATTGCAGATTTGTTCTGCGTTTCCTATTTTGTTACACTTACATGTTTCAGATCATCAGATGAAGTTTAACATAACAAAAATAACATGCAGTTTTCGAATGCTATTTATTTTTTTAAAGGAAAGAAAGCCACCCAAAACAAGCAATCTCTGTGTGAAAATATATAAATAAATGTGTTCGCCAAGCCCTGTAAGTAGTTGTGCCATCAAGCGTTTGTGCAAAGTGGCAATAAGTCATTCAGAACCTTGTGAACACTTTAGTGATCATTTCTCGCTGAATTCTTTCTACTCGACTACGTCGTTTAAAAACATGAACAGCTGATCTGCATCCAGACTCGGATTAGACCTTTACAAAATGTTTAAGTCCCTTGGAAATTGACTTTGTGGAATCAGAATCTGAATTCTTCTTTTTGCCACTGTGCACAAAAGAAAGCGCAACAAAATAATTATAATACTACTACTACTAATAATAATAATAGCAATCCTTTATATCAGTGTCCTGCTACATAATCCAAATATGGTTTGGTGGGTTGTCCACTCCTGGGAAGGTTCATGACTTCTTAATTTTTAGACAATGGCTTTTGTTGTTCACTAGAGTCAGATAATAACCATCAAATCATTTGGGGACAATCGGTCGAATAAAAAACAAAAAACAAAAACACACACAACCACTATTTAAAGCAGTATATAAGAAAAGGACACAGATAGAGATAACAGGAGTTGACGTTCCTTAAAATGAGCCTCATTTCCTCGTGCATGTCCAGATATGAAAGGGCGTGACTGCAGCTAACGGTTAACCTGAGTTATACTACAGAACAGGCTAATTTCAGTGGCTTGTAGTTACATGTACATATGACATGGCTGAGCTGTTTCATATCTTATTCTGTTTGCACAGCAGAAACAAAGCAGACTTCTCAGTCGTTATCTTTCTATCATTGGTGTGAAACCATTCCAAGCCCCTGTAAATGTCTTTAATTAGAGCCAATCTCAAGTCAAAAATAAACGCTGGCCTTTTTTAATCTTGACCACAGTATGAGACGCACTCTGAAAGTGTTTCTGAGAACATTTTAAACGACACGATTGTCAGTCATGCTTTCAAGGTGACAATTTCAGACTGACTAAGCTTTTATTTGACCCCTGAGAGGAAGCCTGAGCTCCATGGCAGCTCTCCAGCTGTTATTGCTTTCAGCCTTAACTTTGACAACTATTTGAATGATTATTTCATTATTATACTGTGAATTTTTAATGATACCATGTATATTCAGCATATTAGCCACACTTCTCTGAAGCTGACTGTGATTACTCTCAATAGTGAGAACAATGGGTTCCATATCTGGCTTTGTAATCCCCGACTGTCACAGCTTTGTGCCATCTTATTTTGACACAGTTATCTGGCATATGTTTGTGGTGCAACCGTCTCTCTCCACTGCACATAAGTATGCCTATTAATTGAAGAGTATGCAAGTAGGGGAGTCATGTAAATGTGTGAGTGTGTGTGTTTCCCTCGGGGGTTTTTTCTAATTGCGCAAGTAGAAAAAAAAAAAACCCTGCAAATGTATAATGTAGTCAGAATGGGGTGTTTAAATATCCTCAGAGATCATGAATTGTGCAAGTCAACAGAAATGAAGTCTGACCTTGGACCTGACAGGGAGAAAAATGAGTTGAGAAAAGTATTCATTATAGCACTATTTTGGAAATAGAGGAAAAAAGGGTTTGATTCAGGAGTTTCAGCTGTTAAATAATAATAAAAAAAGAAAACGGAACTAGATACTTAGCATGTATATCCCTAAACTCTTCTACCCTACAGTGTTAAAATTAGAGCAATGCATCAATGTATAGACATCTCATGTAGTCTGTATGAATACCATACACTGCAGTCCTGAAATATTCATTCCCCTTGAACTTCTTCACAATGTGTTATGCTAAAGCCACAAACTTCAATGTGTTGTACTGGAATCTTGTGTGATAGACAAACTCTGACATAATATTCTAATTCCAATTATTTTTACAATTGGAATTGGAATAAAAATCATACTTGTTTATATACTTGTTTATATATATATATATATATATAAAATACCTTTATTTTGATTTCCCAATTGCCTTCAGAAGTCATCTCAACGGTAAAGTTAATCAGAATCTGTGCGTGATTTAATATCAGTATGAATGCAGCTCTTCTGTGAAGGCCTCAGAGGTTCGTCGGAGAACGTAAGTGAAAGTGAAAACATAACCTTGTTAAGACCAGGGAGCATGATAAAATGTCAAGGATTCCATTGTGGAGAAGTGCAAAGCAGGGTTAGTTTATAAAACTACATCTCTTGCTTTGGTTATCTCATGGAGTTCTGTTCAATTCATCATGGGAGGAAAATGAACACTGTCGATTATCGTCCCCAAGGAGAAACCTGGTGCTGACAGCACCACGCTGTGGATATGGTCCGCTTCAGGGAAGTTGGTCGTTCTTGATGCCAGGATGGACCTGAACACAGCACAGCTTGGAAGAAAATCTGCTGAAGTCATAAAAAGACTTGAGTGGTGTGGCAGTCCATCCATTCTAGAAAAACATTTTTTTTAAAAATCACAGCTTTTCTTTCTCTTCCTTGTTATGCACCACATTATGTGATTGTAATTCGCATAAAACATATGGAAAACGTATACACAGTAACATGTGAAAAATATCCCAGGGGGTATACAGACTTTGTTCTTGAATTTCAAATGTGTGACTTTCAGAGATAAGCACCTCTGCTTCTGCACGGCGCAGGAATAGACCGTACCCGTCACTGCAGCACTATTCCACGACATTTAGAGGATATTCATGATGGTGGGACGACGCTTCACACAGTGCTCATAATGCAGCGACTTCAAACTCAGGGGACAACTACAAGCCAGGGCCAATATAGGCAGAATGAGGCTGATGCTGGCATTATAATGGTGAGCTCTTTTCCCTGTTGGACGACAGCCCAGGCTGACAGTCAAACGTCATTATGAGCTGGTGGCCGTGCAGTTTGTCACTGTCATCACTTCCAAATGGAGACTTTGTTTTCAAGATTTGTAAAGATTTATGACATTCTGGGCAGGATTTAAGCAACGATGTGCGACAAAGTCATTTTGTCTGATGCAAAGCCACGCTGAAAAATGGCAGATTCAGCTGGTTGCGGGCTTTCCTATTTCCTCTGAGCCAATATGCGCTCTATGAAATGAGACATTGTGTTCGTTTTTTTTTTTTTCTTTTCATCATTTTACTGATGTGTGGGAGCACAGATGAGATATGAAGTGCTTGGTTATTATCAAAATGAATTGTGACATTCTCATCTTTACTGCTGTCTCCACCTTTGAACTCTAGGCCTAAAATAATTTGCAGATGCGGGCGCGGGGGAAAAATCCTGATGTTAGCCTGAAATATTAATGCAGCAAATGCCCTTGCCAAATTCCTTGAAATAAAATGGTTACTACTTTACAGGATGTTGAATGGTTTTGGGTTAAGTCTCCACAGAGTAACCTGTAAAGGCATTAGAACTCTATTTGGACTTTTTCACGTTTTCTGACGGTGCTTGCAACCATTGACGTTAATGAATTTTAAAGGGATTTTGAAATAATACTAACAAAGTAGAGCACATTTTTATTGAAATGGAAGAAAAACAACACAATATTATTTCTTTAAATTAAAATTCTGAAGTGTTGCATGCATTTGTATTTATGTTTATTGCTGGGTCCATACTATGGAGAACCGCCTTTCGTCTTTTGAATCTGCAGGCTGACGTCTTTACCCATGCTTCTTTACAAACCATATGAAGCTCAATCAGATGAAGACGTAGGGCATCTGTGAATAACAATTCTCAAGCCTTGTCCCAATATTCTTATTGGACTTAGCTTTAGCCTTTAGTTGGCTGATTCCATCACATGAATATGATTTGATCAAACCCATCTATTGTATCTCTGACTACATGCTTAG